GGGACCGGGGCCCATAGGGGGCAACGTAAAGGGGCGAACGTATAGGGGCAACTACGGGGAGGGGCAATGCAAAGGGACAAACGAATAGGGGCAACTGCAACAGGGCAATGCAAAGGGGCGAACGTATAGGGGCAACGTAAAGGGACAATGCAAAGGGGCGAACGTATAGGGGCAACTGCAGCAGGGCAATGCAAAGGGGCAAACATATAGTGGCAACTGCAACAGGGCAATGCAAAGGGACAAACATATAGGGGCAACTGCAGCAGGGCAACGCAAAGGGGCAAACGTATAGGGGCAACTGCAACAGGGCAATGCAAAGGGGCAAATGTACAGGGGCAACTGCAGGGGGAGGCAATTGCAGGGCAGCAAATGTCCAGCTGCAATAACGGAAGGGCAAATGTACATGGGCAACTGCGGGGGTGCAACTCTAGAAGGTCAGACATATAGGGGCCAGGAGCAATTACAGAGGGAAAATGTATAGGGGAAATGCAAGAGCACAGCTGCAGAGGGGCAAACCTATAGGGGCACATGCCAGGGGGGCAAATGCAAGGGATCAAATGTATAGGGGCAAACAGACGAGGGCAATGCAAAGGGGCAATTGCAGAGGGGCACATAGAGGCACGCACCGGGGGAGCAGTCGCCGAGGAGCAAATGTGTAGGGGCCGAGGAGAGGGGCAATTATAGAAGGGCAGATGTACAGGGGTAAATGCAGGAGGGCAACGCAAAGCAGCAGCTGCAGGGGGGCAATTGCAACGGGGCTGGTGCAGAGGGGCAAGTAGAGGGGGGCAGTTTATAGGGACGAGGCAATGGGGCCGCTTCAGCCCCGCTTGCCAGGACTCTGCTTTGGGGCCGGGGCCCCCCAGCCGCCCCGCTCGGCCCCAGCGCGGCTCTGGCGCTTCCCTGGCTGCTCCCCAGCGCCGGGCGGGGGCTCTCCAGCAAGGCAGGGCCTGTCCCGGCTGCCTGGATTTGCTCGGGAACAGCTCCGTAATGAGGCGACACGACATTAATGCATATTTGCAAAGCTTGTTCAGAGATTTCCATGTTACATCATCACAGTAGAAAACGGGGCCTGGCACATTCCTCATTAGCCACACGATGATGGATCCCCCTCTCCCTCCCGCTGGCTTTAGGCGAGGTGAATTTGCAGGAGTGGAATTAAGAAGGCGTGAGGCCAGGAGGCCTTTCCCTTCCCCTCCCGTGTAACACCCACAGCAGGGGGAAAAAGAACCCAAAAAGCGGGGGTTTTGGCTCCCTCCACGTCCCCGAGGCCGGGGCTAAGCCACAGACTCGTCACGGGTGCCTGTGCCGGGGCTGGGGCACCGCGGCTCCCCACCGCAGCGGGAGGCGGCCCCCCCGCCCCGAGAAGGATGCTCCATGTCCAGGCTTGCAGGACGCTCCCGAGCCGCCCGCGGGGCCCGGGGCGCCGCGCAGGGCTCCTGCTACCGGTGCCGGTGCTCGAGCAGGGCCTCGAAGTCCGGGGAACAGACCAGCTTGTGGCGCACGTGGCCCAGCACCATCATCTCGCCCGAGCGGCTGTCGCCGATGCTGACGGACACCAGCTCCTTCGCGGGGCGACAGGAACGGGCTCAGGGCGACGGACAGGGAGCTCCTTCCCCCCTCTCCATGGGGGGCTACGGAGAGCAGCAGGACCCGCCACCCTCATGTGAGCACCCCCAGGCCGCCCCCGAGGGCTCCTCTGCAAAGCGGGGCCACCCCGGCTCCTACCTGCAAGAAGGAGCAGGGCGTCCCCATGGTCACATCCAGGGTGACCTTGCCCAGCACCAGCTGCACCTTCCCCGACTTGCGGACCAGCAGCTTCCCCACCTGGCCCTCGGGCAGGTCTGCCAGGGTGCACGTGTTCTCCGCCTGCCTCGCCTCCTGCGCGGGGGGACGGCCGGCGTCACCGCACGGGCCCCGCGCGGCCGCCGCGCCGCCCGCGTCCCCGCACGCACCTGGCTCTTCTCCTGCTTCACCAGCAGCACCTGGCCCTCCTCGCTCTGCAGCTCCGTCTTGACGGGCTTGCTGTCCTGCGTGGGCGGCTGCCCGGGCAGCGTGTCGGGCAGCTGCAGGAAGAGCAGCTCCTCGTCGGGCGCCAGGCGCAGCCGCTGCAGCAGCTCGGCCACCGCCACGTCCCGCGGGCAGCCGGGGGGGGCCCTGGCCGGCGCCGCCCTCGCTGGCGCCTCTTTGGGCTCCTCGGTGTCACACGGCTCTTCTTTCACTGGCACCGGGGCGAAAATTGGGTACGGGGACACGGGCGCGGGGACGTGGGGACCCCCGGCGCCCGCCTGCGCGCCCACAAGCACCTCTCAGCGCCGGCACTTCCTCCTCCATGGCCTCGGTGCCCGGGGGCCAGGGCGGCGCGTCCTCCTGCTCGGCCACCTCCTCTTTGAAGAGCCAGCCCGAATGCGCCAGCGGCAGCTGCACCGGCTTGTTGCGGATGTCGTTCTTGAGGCCGGGGTCGTCCAGGAACTGCAGGGCAGGAGGAGCCGACGGGGTCAGGGCTGTCCCCAGGGCTGCGGCGACGTGCCGAGGCACCGCCACCACTCACATCATCCTTCTGCAGCATGCGCAGGATCTGCTTCGTCTCCTCGTCCGTCTCCCTCTTCTCCTTCTTGATGTTGATGATGTGGGAAGGGCCGAAGTCGGACACATCCACAGTCTTGTCCCAGGAGCCGGCTGGGGACGGGGAGCTCCGGGTGAGGACGGGCTGGACAGGGGGAGCTCCATGACCCTCCCGCCCCCGTCCCGCGGGCTCTACCTTTCTTCTTCATCATCTCGGCCGGGCCCTGCTCGAAGATGGAGTGGGACTGGATGACCTCCGGCCGGCCGCGGCCCCGGCCGTGCCCGTCGCGCTGCCGCTCCCGCTCCCGCTCCTTCTTCTCCTTCTTGACGGAGACATCCTCGCGCGGCCTGCGGCGAGGCGCCCCGGCTGCACATGCCACCCTCGGTGCCACCAAGCCCCGTCCCGCCACCCACCCGGCCCCCTCGCAGCCTCCCGCCACGCTCGGAAGGTTTGGGGGCCACTTACTCTTCCTTGATCTTCCTGCTGATGATGTTGGGGGTGAAGGTTTTCTGCAAGCGAGTGGAGGGACAAGTGACCGCAGTGAGCGGGGGGCTGCACCGCGGCCGCGTCCCCACGCAGGGACGCGCCGGGGGTGCCACGGGGCTGGCAGCGGCCCCGGCGCGGGGCGTCCCCGCG